TGTAAATGTAGATGTACGTCAGGCCTCCGTTAAAATGTTTCTCATGCTTCAAGCCCTAATCTATTGGGGACTATTCAGCTCTTTACCAATTATCCTGAAGCCCAAAGTGACATTTCAGTTGGCCATACTGTTAAATTCCCCGTTTAGATTTCTGAGAAGCAATAGATATGACAAACAATGAATTACTCAAACAGTTTGGCTTATCCGAGATAAATCCTCTCTGGTGTGGGTCTTGGTCATTTTAGAGAGCTAGGCTTTCCTTTTGTGTCAATATAGATTATTTGAACTGCTCGCCAACTTTCCCAAGTATGTCAGTGATTCAGAGGTATACCATGCTCCTTGGAGAACCCCTGGCCTGTCCAAAAGCCAGACTACACGCAGTGTACGAACCCCAAGGTTGTAGATAGCCTTCAGGTTTCCGGGGCGCTGATTGTTCCCTGTAGTTTAGCTAGTGGTAGTGGTGTTTCTATTTCTAATTTAAAAGATTTATAAAAGTTAATTTATAAGCATGCCCCAGGGCTCTTAGGTAATTAAGCCAGTCTGTTCCAGGTTCAGAATTTTGTAGACCTCTTAACATGGCAGATGCCTGGGGCTATTGGAAAGAACAAGGCTTTGCTTTTTTGCACTGCTGTCAAGATTTGTTGTACCACAATTAGCGTGGAAGAAAAAGGAATCTCGAATTTGGGATGTTGCAGGTAAATAATCATAAAACATAGCTGTTCCGTGCTATGGTGCTTCCGCGTTTAGAACTTGCAATCATTGCTGGAGAATGGTAAACTTAAGGTTGTATTTTAGCTGTCTTCTGCCAAGCAATTTTGAAAAAAATTAATAGAGAAAGGCTTTTCCAGTTCCAACGTTTGTTTATAAGTCAGTCTCTCAAAAGCACTTACTAAACCTCTCAACGTGCTAGCTACTGCTCAGGGTAAGTCCAGTGCTTTGGGATTCCTCCTACTACTTTCCTTCAGAAATAACATAATCATATCAGATTCGTCTAAACTTGTGATCATGCTTCTTGCTTTCTCTTGAATTGAATCTCTCTTTCTAAACTGCTACCTACTTTCCAGATAGCATCTGTATTGGAAGGAAAAAGTGGAATAAAGACGTTTTGATAGAGAAATATGAGAAAGTCAAATAGGCTGTTTCTTAATGTTCCAGCTTGCTTACTAAAGAACCTAGAATGCGATCTGAACATTTGAGTTAACGTGCATATTTTTGGAGTTTTAGACTATCTTAAGCGGTACCTGCCTTTGTTAGCAACACACTGATTCACATGGATAGATTCCTGACTTAGACGTTGACACTTTAAGCCTGATTACATGGATGGGGAGGACTGTAGAGCTCTCAGGTACCAGAAGTGAGGCTGTCCTTTGGGAATCCCTAATCATCCATGTGGTCCGTTCAAAGCAGCCTCCCACGGTGAGGAGAGCACATCTTTGGAGTTAGAGCTGAAGTCAGATTCATTTCACCCCCATGCCTGCTCTGTGATCTTGGGAATTTTATTTAATCTCTCTGAGCCTCAGTTTCCTCACCTGTATGTATCAAATGCACAATAATAGTACTTATTTCAGAGGATTGTTAAAGAGCCAAAATAAGGACTAGTTAGATAAACATGTAATTATGCTTACTTAGAAAACCACCCCACATGTTGAAGACTTCGTGCATATTTATTGAAAATTTATTTAGGACAGAAAATAGCAAATAGCAAATAGGATGACTATATAATCACTGATTCCAGATTCTATAATTAAAGCAAGCATAAATAAAAAAGATAACCCTCTATTCTGTTGCGGTTTCACCTAAAAAAGTATTAAAAAAATATATCTTATAGGTATTCCAGTCAACTACCATGGAAATGTGACTTTTCCTACCAAATTCACATTATTAATGAGAACTATACTGAGCAGAAGAGGCTAGGAGGGGCCACATTAGGAATATACCCTTTTTTGCATGGAAATTAATTTCTAAATGACTCCTGTCTTGTAGCTGTACTTAAACACCAGACACAATAAATCTTTTACTACTATAATAATTACTGTATGTATTTTTCTAAAATGTAGCTATATAACAATAAAGGCAATAGGATACTAACATTGCTAAACTTTAGGAAAACATGAAACGCTTAAGGATAAATCTAACAAAATATGTGTAAGGTTTATATGCTGAAAACTACAGAACCTTGAAGAGAGAAATTGAGACCTAAATAAATGGAGAGATATCTGTGTTCATGAGTTTCAAGGCTCAATATTTAGATGTCAGGTCTCTCTCCAAATCGATCTATAAGTATTTAACACAATCCTGATAGAGTTCCAGAAGACTTTTTGTAGAAATTGACAAGGAGATTCTAAAATTTATATGGAAATATAAAGGACTGGAGTAGCCAGAATAGCTTTACAAAAGAATAACAAACTTTTGAGGACTTCCCCTATCCAATTCTAAGACTTACTCTAAAGCTATAGTAATCAAGACAGCACAGTGTTGGTAATAGAAGAGACACATAGTTCAGTAGAAGAAAGTTTCCAGAATTGCACCCACACATGTATGGATGCTTGATTTTTGGACAAAGACCCCAACACAATTCAATGTAGAAAGGACAATTTTTTTCAATAAACGGTGCTAGAACAGTTAGATGACAACATGTAAGAAAATAAACCACAACTCATACCTCATACTGCATACAAAAATAACACAAAATGGATCATAGACTATATGTAAGACGTAAAAATGTAAAGATTTTAGAGGAAAATCTTTGTGACCTTGGGTTAGGCAGTAATTTCTTAGGATACAAAAAGCAAAAACCATAAAATAAAATAAAATAAATGGTAATTTGGACCTCAGCAAATTGTAAAACATTATTCTTCAAAAAGCACTGTAAAGAAAATGAAGGCAAGCCACAGACTGGGAGAAAATATTTGCAAGGCACATAACTGATAAAAGACCAATATCCAGAATATACAAAGAGCTCTCACAACTCAATAATAAGAAAACAAGCAGCCTAATAGAAAGGCAAAGCATTTGAACAGACATTTCACCAAAGAAGAGACATGGATGGCAAATAAGCCTGTGAAAAACATTTCATTATTAGTCATTAGGGAAATGCAATTTCAATCCACTATGAGGTGCCAGTATGCATCGATCAAAATGGCTTAAACCAAACAAAAACCTGACATCATCAAGTGCTGACAAATATGTGGAGCAACTGAAACTCTCATATTGGTGGTGGGAATGCAGAATGCTATAGCCACTACGGAAAACGGTTTGGCAGTTTCTTATAAAATTGAATTTATGAGCAATAATCGCACTTCTAGGTATTTACCCAAAAGAAGTAAAGGCAGATGTCCATACAAAAACCTACCCTTGAATGTTTATAGTAGCTTATGTGTGACTGCCAAACACTGGGAACAGTGCCAGTGCCCATCCACCGTGAATGGATAAACAAATTGTGGTACGTGTATGCAGTGGAATAGTCCTCAACGTAAAAATGAATCTATCGATGCATCCAGCAACATGAGTGAATCTCTGAGTAATGTTAAGTATTTTAAAAAACTGAAATGGAAAGACTTCATACTTTTAAACTCAATTTATGTGACATTCTGGAAAAGGCAAAACTGTAGGTACAGAAAACATGCTAGTTGCCAAGAGCAGATGTTGGGGGAGTGGATTGGCTACAAAGGGCCACGAAGGAGCTTCCTGGGATGTTGGAAATGTAAATCTTTGTCGTGTTGATGGTTACATGACTGAAGGCATTTGTCAAAACTGTAGAACAGGATACCTAAAAGCGTGAGTTTTACTGTGTATAAATTGTATGTCAGTAAATCTGACCTTAGAAAAGTTAAAACATTAAACTAGTCATTTTAAACTTAGATAATTCTACTTGCGTATGTCAGCGGTAGGGAAGAGCTGTTAGTTTCTCCTCCATTTGGTTCACACTGACATGGACCTTCTGTGGCTATTCTTTCTCATCGTTCATTCTAGTTATCTACTGACCCGGAACCCCACCATTGGAGTTCATTTAGGGCAATTTGAGTATCAGTAAGACTAATAATAACTGTTATGTAGTGAAACATATCAAATATTTTTAAAATCTATGAGTTCATAATGATACTAAATAAAAAGGAAACATTCATTGGCCACTTTTAGAGGACAGTAGGGAATCAACTTATCTTGCAAATTGGTCAAGTAAAAAAAAAAAATCCAGTATTTATGCTGTTTTTCTCATATAACCTATATTTCAGGGAACCCAGATTGTTGAGAAGTTTCTCTTTGTGCACCAGTTAAGTTAGAAGGAACCATAGAATTAAAAGGTCACCATTTTGAAACTCTTAATAAATCCAGCCAATGATTATCGTTGTTTTCTGTCATCACAAAAAGAGAGACAACCAGGTTTTAGGTACCTGCTGATGGAAGTACACACTATCACCTAGAGTATTTTTGCAGAAACTCAAAGCTGAATATGATAAATATTTTTCTGTCCTGGAGAAGTATAGGGAAGGACATGTAGTCTGGTTAGGGCAGATGGTGATATTTCAGCCACTATCTGAAGGATGGGAATAGCCAGGAATGCAAAGAGATGGTGAGTGGAAGGGGTGGAGAGGTGGACAGGCTGGGCAAGGAGAATGTTTGATGTGGGTTTACTCGTTCCTTCTGCTCCCAGGGCAAATATCATATTGTCTGGCCACTTGTTGATTTACTGTTTCTTTTGCGGACTATCTGTTGTGTATTAATGTGTGTCTGATCTAAGGTCTAATAGAGTATGAACCCTAGAGCTGTTTCTAAGCCTGGCATAGTTTCACATGCCCTGAATGGATGTCGATAGTACACACCTTTTTTAACCTGTAGTCTTTTCAGCTGATTCTCAGAATGTAGGTGGGAACAGTATTGTGTCTTTGAACAAAAGAATCAGCAATTAAAATTTAGAAGAACATCCTAGTAACCTTGGAAAATGAGAAAAGTATGTCTTGGGTTCTGGATTATATTTTACTAACTCCACCAAATCCTGTCCTTTAGTTTCCCTTTGTGTTGTTAGAGTAATAAGATATATTGTTTTGTGAAGTGTTTGAATTTCTTAAAATGAATGAAACATGTTGTCTATTGTTATTTATTTAAGTAGTATCATATTTTCCAGTGATAAGAGTTAGGCACAATGTAGAGACTCAATAAATGTTAAGTAGGTAAATGATGGGTGCCTTGTATAAACTTCTCTTTGCCATAGCTTTCTCTTTGAATCCGTATCAGAACCTTCCACTACATTTGTATCAATGATTCTTTTATACGCCTTTGTTCTACTTTCTCGGAGAATTTGAAGGCTGTATCTTTTTTTTCTGACCCAACTACTATTTTTTTTTAATTGGGGGTGGGGGACCACCAAGTTGTTCTTCAATCTTAGTTGTGGAGGGCGCCAGTTACCATCTGGCCGCCCGTCGGCAGCTCGTGGCCTCTAAGCTCAAGGTGCTGTGTTACAATCTTAGTTGCGGGTGGGTGTAGCCACCATCCCATGTGGGTGTCAAACCAGCAGCCTTGTTGTTAAGAGCACATGCTCTATCCACTGAGCCATCCAGGTGGCAGCTCAGCTTAAGGTGCTGAGTTCAGTCTTTTAGTTGCAGGTGGGCATAGCTGACCATCAAACAGGCCGTCTTGTTAGGAGCACGTGCTCTCACCAGCTGAGCCATCCTGCCACCTGTTGGCAGCTCAGCTTGGGCGCAGCTCACTGGCCCATGTGGGAATCGAACTGGTGGCCCTGTTGCTTGCACTCTTAAACTAACTCTTAACCAACTGAGCCACTCGGCCCGCCCCCAACTACTATTAATAGTACTCTGGGCAGGAGTGTGTGTGTGTGTGTGTGTGGGGGGGGTGGCAGTGCTTATTTTTCACAGCGTGATCATTTGCCTCTTGTTATCTTTTAGACACATTACAGATGCTACACTTGCCATTGTGAAAGGAGAGACAGTTCCACTTGATGTCTTGCAGATCAAGGTAAAGTATTTTCTCTAGAGTTTGAAAAAATTAACAAAGTAATGCACATAAAGACAAAACATAACAGTTCAAATGAGATAATGAAAACAACAGTCCCTCTTACCTTTTCCTGTAACTCCCCAGAGAAAAAGAATTTTATCTGTTTATTCTAGTTATTATCACAAACAAATATGCTTAGGATGCTACTTTTTAAAATTGTGTTAAAAAATACATAACATAAAATTTACCATCATAACCATTTTTTTTTTTTAAGATTTTTTATTGGGGAATTGGGGGGATGGGAACAGTGCTGGGGAATTGGGGGAAGGGGAACAGACAAGTTGCTGTCGTTTTGTTCTTCAGTCTAGTTGTGGAGGACGTTGCTTCACTGGCCCAAGTTGGCACCATCATGGCGCTCTTCCCGGGCGAGGCAGATCAGTCGCAGGCTTCTGGATGGCCGCTCACTGAGGCTGCTGGCCGCTCACGCTGGCTGCTGGCTACATACAGTAGTCCATGGCAACCCAATGCCAGAGGGGCTGCAGCCTATGCCGTCGCCGGCGACTCACAGCAGTCCAGCTCCAGGTTGAGCTGTTGTTCAACATCTTAGCTGTGGAGGGCAGTGTGACTGGCCCTCATATGTGGGATCCAAACCGGGGCCCTCTGGCGTCCCAAGCCAGTTCTTAACCATCGCGCCACTCGGCCGGCCCCATAACCATTTTTAAGCATACAGTTCAGCAGCATTAAGTCCATGATAGTAGTTTTTTGATTTATCAGTTTAGCCCTTATCTCTTGACCTCCTTGTTATGTGTAAGAATTCCTCTCTTATCTCTTAATATCATTGTATCACTATTTTTAGTTCCTCTATTGGTTACCTTTGGGCCTCAAGCAATGTCTCTGCCTGGTATGGTTGTTTGAGTATGAAAAGAGCTGATGAATATAAAGCACTTAGGACAGTGCCTGATTTCATCTTATCTGTTTGCATGGTGGCTTCCTCTTTGTCCCATGTTCTGCCAAAAGTGAAATATTTCTCACGTCCTATCTTGCCTTTGCAGGGGCTTGTCTTTCTTTGGAATTCAGGTTACTTGGTTGTCTTACAATCTTAGCCCTCTGATGGGCATTAGAAAAAACATGACTGTAGATTATCTGGCTTTTTCTCCCTTTCAGAATGGGAATGCTGTTCTTTGTAGCTGCCTATATACCACATGGGAGCAGAACTTCCAATTTTTCTATTGGGTTGTCTAACGCTTTCTTATCAATTTGTAGATGAACTCATGAATTGTTTTAGAAATATACAGAGGGTGCCAAAAAAATGTACACACATTTTAAGAAAAAAAAGTGTATTAAAATTTTAATACAATGAATGACGCTAGCATTCATTTGATTAATGCCATCTTTTGAGCAAATGTCATACTAGCAAATGTCATACTACACATTGCTACCGTAATTCAATTCAACTTCGAAAAATGTGTACATTTTTTTGGCACCCCCGGCATTTGCTGGCTATGCCACTGACAGGGCTTAGAAGCAGTAACACCTAATAGCAGTGAGCATACCTGGCACCCAGACTTGGATCTCTAAAAACCATTCTCTCCTGCAAGTTACCAGGACTCTGAAAGGATGGCTTTCAGAGGCAGGGCAAGAAACAGGGCAAGGAAGCACTCAGCTGATGGAGACAGCACAGAAAGACATAGGAGCCAGCCTCTGGTGTCCTCTTGGACAATTTGGGGACCGTTTGAACATCAAAAAGAATAATGATGATAAAGGATTACATAATACATTAAATAAAAATGAAGGACCCATGAATCCACAGGGATATTGCAGAAGAATTGCCAGCTTCTAAATGGAGAAGGAATGACAGAGCTAGAGATTACCCTTTTGTAATCGCCAGTGAAATCACTGGTAGAGATCATTAATGGGTGCTAAAACCATCAGTTAAAAGGTTGTAAGAAAACAAATATCCACACAATATCACAGATTACTTGATCGTTACAAAGGGAAAAGACACCTTTACAGTAGAGAAATCTAGCGCACACCACCTTAACCAAATGACGAAACTTCGCATCACCAGTAATGGGATTGGGCATGACCTGCTTCCTGCTGAGAAGGATACAGCATCACCTATGTAATTTCCTGCCCGAAAAGTTAACTAGCCTGAATCTAACTGAATCTACTAACAAGAAAACAATCAGATCCCAATTGTGGGGAAGTCAAAAAACAAAAGTTGGTCTGGCCTCTTTCAAAAGGTCAATATCATGAAATCCAAACAAAAGTAGAGAGACGGTTCAAGATTAAGAGAAACTAAAAAAAAAAGAAAAGAAAAAAAATCATAATTAAATCCAGTACGAGGTCCTGGATTGGAAAAATGTAAAACAGTGACAACCATAAAAGATAGTTTTGAAGCAATGAGATATCTTACTACGGACTGTATATTAGATTTATTGGGTTGTCGGAAAAGTCATGACGCTTTTTTGCAATGAAAAGCATAGAAAAATAAGTCATGACTTTTCTGACAACCCAATACTTCAATGTTAGATTTCCTAAGAGTGACCGTGGTGTTATGGTTATGTCTGCGTATGTCCTTGTTCTTAGGAGATGCATGCTGAAATATTTAGAGGTGATGGGTCTTGAAGCCTGCAATTTGTTTGCAAATGATTTAACAATATTGCAAAACGTACACACACTCCAGATAAAGGTAATATGGGGAGATGTTCATTGTACATTTATAAATTATATTGGTTGTTGACATTTTTCCAAAATAAAAATTTTGGAGGGAAGAAGACCTGGTAGACATTCCTGATTCTTGATTAGAATCCTCTCTTTAAAAAGAATTTTATTCCTAGAAAAAAGAGATTCTCACTGGCCAGTAGTTAAGTAGCTATTCCTTGCTCTTCATCAGCCTCCCCCACCCTAAAAAGAGGGCAGATTCTAAGAAGGCTGAGGGAGCCATCAAGCCAAGCAATCCTATGAAACAGCCAGCCCTGTGACTTTACTCAGATCTACTCTTAAAATGTACCAGCTACATCAGGCCGTCCTCCACAGGCTATGAACATTTTATATTCATTCAGGTTTCTTGATGTCTGTGAAAGAACGGTTACACCGTGTCATGGTTCCAGTCCTAAAATGTCACTGCTAGTGATAGAGCATTGGCTGTAAGCCTGTTTGGTGAACCCATGAGCTTCCAGCCTCTTTCCCTTTTATTTTCCTTTGTTCTTTCTGCAGTGATGTCTGGACTCCACTGTGACCTCATTGGTCATCATAAAAGTGATTTAAGTTGCCATTGATTCTTTGGCGTATAATAAAGCTAAATTGTTCTCACAAAATAGAAGGGCTGTGCTGAAAAATTCCAGCCTAGCAAAGTTACTACAGATCAACATCCATGAAGATATTATTTTAAAATAGTGTTATGACCAAAGGAGGTGAATCGGGTTATATTTCTCAATAACTAAATGATGTACTCTTCTTATTTATGTGTGAGGAGTAATACATTCCTGAGTAACGAGGAATTAGCTAGAAATTCTTGACTGCTTATCGTTGAACATCACCTGTCTCCTTGATGTTTTTCTCTTAAATAGACTGACTTGATGAATTGATGAAACCAGTATCAAATTTACCACAGGCTCCGTATATTGATGCCACAGCCCAGGAAGCAGAAAACTTTTACAATCAATTCCTAGAAAATGTAACACAGCAGCCTGTAGTGTGGTTTCCGAGGCACCCAGCTAAGCTGGAATTATCTCCTTTTTTCCTTCCTTCTGGAAAGTGCTTTTAGAATATGGGGGAAGCATCGCGTGTCGCCGAAGGCTGATAACTAGATTCCTCTTCTTCTAACAAACAAACCCAAACCCAATTAAACATGCAACTGAAGATTCTTTAGAGATTAAAAAAAAGTAGTAGTACTTGGAAGCTATAATAACGCTTGCAAGCTATAATTTAACTTTTACTTTGTTCAGTGTGCATTCCCATCTCATTTGGATCTCCAACTCAGTGAGGAAGGCAAGACGTGCATGAGTATCTTATTTGACGGATTCAAAAAAGTCATCTGGTCCTATGACTAATTTTGCTGGGGACAGAAGTAGAATCTAGACTTTCTGTCCTAGGGGCCTTGGTTTCTCCACTTCACTGCTTGTCCAGGTGGTGTCATGCTTGGCGCTTCCCCATGAATTTTAAAGAGCGTTTTTCCTGTATAGATATTCTGTAATGCCCAGTATTTTAACTACTGGGAAGATTTCTGGAATTCTTTCTTGTTCGTTCTGTTTACTCTTTTCGTCAGATTTTTTAGACCCTGCTGACCCAGAACCATTGAGTACAAGGAGGTGGTGAGGAGGTAGAATCCCTCCCCTCCCCCATCTTTCATTCCTGGCTGGGTAAATGGCTTCCTTCTGTTAAAACCCCGGCTCTGATCATTCTCTTCAGATGATGCTGAGAGCTGCTTCCGAACTTCAGAGCTCCTTCTCTTTTGTTTCTTTCTCATCATCTAGAATCCCTAAAATTCCTGGATTAAGAACCTATCTAGTTGACAGGAATGATTTTCTTTTCTCTGTTCCTTGAGCTTTTATTCCAGCCAGCTCTCCCAGTTATTTTTGCAAACCACTAGTCCACTTTCTCTCAGGGATTTCCTCTTTCCAGAGAGCCTCTGACCTGGGCAGCCTCTCTCCTGTGCTCTGTATATCTGGCTGTGTGTCCTTTTGTTTCTGATTTTGTTTGCTGACCTAGCCGTCTCATAATCTGACTACCGCCCAGACCTTCATCCAGTTGAGATCCCACAGTATCTTAGATGCAGTGGTACTTTGTCCATTGGTTTCTCCTCTGTCCATCTTGCTTATTTTTCCTATGCTCGTGTGACCCCAATAGAGACCAGTCTCCCCATCACTGACCCTCAAGCCTCTTCTGAATCCTGAGGGCTCTATGCCCATCTGGCTGCTAGCTGGACCTCGCTAGATCTTTTCACACTCATTTCCTATCCTCCAGAGCCATCGCCACCCCCCAATCACTGGAACCTTGAGGTTACAAGGCTTTTCAGTTCATCTTAACAGTATTTCTAAAACCCTTCCCCCTAGATGAAGAAAGAACAGTCTTGAGCACCAGTCAGGAAGCCTTGAATATTATCTCAGCACTTCACGCCCCCGCTACGTGCCTTAGAACGGCATTTCCCACAGAGTATTAGGTACGCCCAGAGTCCCCCCAGAGAGGAGTCACACAGTTAGCAGCTCAGGAAGACTGCATTGGTTTCCCCTTCGGGAAATTCATAACGTGTGTTAGCATATTAAAGGCTCTGAGGAGCTGCCATAAACATAACCTGTTTCAAACCAAGTAAGTTTGCTATTTCCCAACTTATTTCACCGTGGACTCTTCTGTCATCATCATCACCATCATTCTGATTATAGTTAACACTTATTCCCGTCCTGTGGACCATTTGGGGAATGTTCCTGCAGACACAGCAAACTCACACAATATCATTTCTCTCCCTTCAGCTAGAATGCCCTTCCTTTCGTTTCTTTTCTCTCCACGCTTCTCCCCAGCCTCCCCCAATCTCGGGACCTTGTTCTTTACCCTTGCATTTGCTTTAAATGTGTGTGTATTTGCCCTGACCACCTATCTCCCTTGCTCCCCCCACACCCATTAAGCAGTCGCACCTGCTCTGCAGTCTCGTAATACTTGCTACAAACCTCTACTATTTGAACTTACTGCACTGTATTGTTATTGTCTGTGTCTATATACCCCCCGTGGCACCTTGAGCTCTCTGAGGGCGGACGTTTTCTTATCACTAGTCCCTAATATATAATATGCATTTGGTAATGGAAATGCTATGAAGAAAATGAGTGAGTGATGAGCTGAATAAATCAGGATGACTCAAAGCCCTGCTGTCTCCCACAGCATCCTCTTGGCCCCAGGAGACTGGCTTCCTGCTGTGACAGGCCTGACTGCCTCCCATCTCCTCTTAGCTCCAACCGTGCCTCCCCCACACCCCACACACACACACACCCCGCCCCCTCTAGTTCCCATTGCCTTATTAATGCAGGTACAGGAAACAGAAAAGCAAACCTGCTGCCTGAGCAGACACAACCAAAGAATGAGAGGCTATGACTTTTCCGTGTAGGCTGCCCCTGTTTGTGTGTGATTCTCCTAGAAACCCCCACCTTGGTTAGGGTGTAGTGGGAACGGCAGTGAAAGCGGGATTGAAGTGGAGTTGAGGGGAAGCAGTTGTCCCCTGAGAAGACTCAGCAGGCTTTCTCCAAGCTGGCAGCTTTCAGAGCCCGGGGTCCTCCTCCAGCTCCTAACTTCATAGTGCTGGAAATTGAGCTGGGTCTGCACCATTTAGCAAAATCTGTGGAGTCGTATCTAGCGTTTGGCAGCTCTTTAGAATGTGGGGTACTCTTGTGCTTTCACTGCAATTCTGAGCTACGGGAAAAGCCCCTTTTAGAATCCTGGTATTATATTATTTATACTTTAAGGGAAGTCCATCACAGAGCATCAACACTTAGGGGCGGTGGCTGTACTGTGTATGTTTTCTATGCATTGCTTATCGCACCCATTAGAAACTCACTGATTGTAATATGTCTGTGCAATATTTCACCAGAAAGCAGTGGCCTAAATCCAAATCACTTTTATTCTGACTTGTTACGACCAATACCTGACTGTGTCTTCAGGTATTCGGGTGAAACATTCTAGAATACCAGGATTCCAATACTTGAGAGGCCTTGGCCTTCTGAAGAGAAGACAGGCTTCAATTATTGTTGCCTGGGACAAATACATGAGAGAAGACATTCTGGCTGATCTGACTACTAACTGGTGCTAGAACCAGCATAGTTAGGTACTCCTTCATTTACAGTCTGAAGTATGATACTGTGTTCCCTTCCCAGCAGATGCATGAGGCCTAATATATACAAATTAGTTCCATTTAGAGTACGGTTTATTCAAGTACTTTCACTGAACACTCATAGAGTTCATTTCTTAAATTTCGAGCATCCTTTTAGAATTTGGTCTGATGAAAAGTAGGCCATGATCATTTGCTGGGTCCTTACCTGTGGAGACTTCCAAGTTATTGTCATCATTAATTCAAATGAACTGTATTTCACTTCCAGGGTGAAAAGGAACAACCTGTGTTTGCAATGACTGGCCTTCGATGGGGATCCTTCCGAGATGCTGGCGTCAGAGTTAGCAAGTAAAGGATTGCTCTATTGATATGTGATGATTCAGAGAAAGTGCTTTGAATCTGTACCTGTTTGGGGGCTGTGTGGCTAATAGAGACAGGTTTATATATTATGCAGAAGGCGGGGGCAAGTTCCGGTCCAACCCCACCCCCACCCTGCAAGCTTGGTGGTGGCTAGAGAGGGGTACGCCTCTATTTTTAGATATACTATTATATTTGAGACTCAAGATGGCCTAAGGGGACCTGGATTGCCTGTCACCCTGCAGCCTGCTTAGCTGGGTACCAAGTGAAAGGCGCCACTGGGGCCACGGCCTCACGGTGCTGTCACCACCCTGGTCAGAAGACTCCCTGAGAGGTGTTCTCTTTGAAGGCCTAGCAGATTGGGAGAGACCGCAGTCTGCCTCTGTGAGAGAAAGAAAAGGTGGATGGATGCCTGGCTGTCCTGTGAGATGGGAGAAACAGGCCTGTTGGGAGGGCCCTCGCTGGCGTTTCATGGGAGTGGACTTATTTTTGGAGCATTCATTGTGTAACATGAAACCCTTGGCTTGGCAAGACGGGGTGTCATGTTGTATTTGATGTGGAGATGCAGTGTAAGAAATGGCTTCCCCAGGCGGGACTGAAGGAGGGAGACACGGTGAGGCACCGTTCACACCTGTCACACCTGCTGGGTGTTGTCTCTTACCTTCTCTGAAAAACAGGCCTAGAATGTTAGTGTTAAGTGAATTATGATTGATCTCACACACAGCTTTTATCAAGAAACCCCTCTTTCACTTTATAGACATCTCTGCCACAATTTTACAGACATTTCTCTCACTTCTTCACTTTATTATGCCTGCTAATGAAGTCCCTGACAGTGGAATGTCAAAAGAGAGCTATTACTGTGTTATTTTACGCTCTGTATTATTTAATATTTCATGTCTTTTTATTTGTAAGTATGCCGCGATTATCTTGATTCCACAAGTTACCTTCCTTGTGTTTGATGTGTAATGTCAAATAATGCCAGCAGCCCACCGAGAGGAATTGCTTAGTTTTCCCGGGAAGCCTGGTGTGAACCAGTTGCTTTCTAAAATGTGTTACATTTTAGCACAATTAAGCATAAGCATAGGTCAGCCCTTTTAGGAGTTAATCTCACACACTTGCCCATATTTTGGCTGATTTCGGAACAAAGAATTTTAGAATTCCAGTTGTTATCTAAATAGCTCAACTAGGACTATCCACCAAGTTGTTCTGTGTGTTATAGAAGAAGCAACAGAAATGCAAGAAATGATTTCCTAGGTGGTCATCAGAAGACTTTAAGCATAGTGTCAAAGTTTGCTACTGGTAGAGGCAAAGGGAAATGCAGACAGTTCAGAAATAAACTGCCACAGTTGGGATGTGTTTCTGTCTCCTGTCCCGGAAAAGAAGCCAATTATTACATAAACTGACAAAGAAATCAGATGATGTAACTCTTAGTAGCATTACAGTAGGAACCTGAGTAATAATGCTCATTGGGTTATGTCTAAACCTCTTACGCTGGCGCTCAAGGCCCAGCGTAACCCGTCCTCACCCGTAGCGATGCGTCTTTCCTTTTAAGCCTTTGCTCTGGCACTTCTTCTCAGTGTTGCCTGCATCTTTGCTACTCTTCTGGCCTGGAATGATGTCTTTCCCTCTTTCATGTGTCTAATTCCAAAGCAGCTTTCTAAATTCCACGCCCTTACCTTGTTCTTGTGCCATTCATTATACAAGCATGGCTGCTCCAATGATCTGAGGCTCTTAATGATTTCTTATCCCTATTTGACTCTCCTTATTAATTAAACAGTGATCATTTTATACCCTATTGTATACATTTATATTTATATATTATATATATGTTATATATATATATATATATATAACATATATATATATATAGTCATTGGTTGTTTGCTGTTACTTTTGTTGATGTAAAACATCCAGCCTAAGAGAAAACTTAGAGGACTGTATTTGAGCTAAACTGACGACAACTGACGGGAAGCAAAGTCTCAACGGATTGAGAAAATGCTCCAGAAAATGGCCGTTTTGCAATTTATTTTATACATTAGAATCAAAGGAGGAGGGTTACATGAAATCCATTGGTTGTAGATTATGGGGGTGGGAGAAAGCAAAGCGAGGGAGGGGGATCTCTGGGATTGGATAAAAGTAAATTGGAGAGACATGTATTTCTTTTACATTGGTGGGTACAGTATAATTAATAGCATTTTACAGCACATAGAGATAGTATTTGGGGAACAAGATAACAATGAGGGACTTTGTGGTTTCCTGCTCTGGTGTGGTGGGTTGTGCCCCCTGGGGGTCTGGAAAGAGATTACTCTGATACTGCAAGGGTATGTTATCCTAGATGCAAAAAGACAACAGACAGGTTTAAGGTAAAGATTGACCTTTGTCAAGGAAGCTACAGGTCAAGGATGTGACTTCCCGCCATGGCCCACCTGTGTTAGGAATTTTTATGTTCATGCCATCCTGTGTGGCTATTTTCAGTCTCCAGAGCTCATCAGATTTAACATGTGGCCCCTTTTCCGTCCACACTTTTTTGGGGCCATATTTTCTCAAATTATAAGCCCTCGAAGGCCGGAATTTTATACTCTATGTATTTTTTCTGTTTCCTCCATACACTTAGGGAGCACTATATAAAAGTATGTTGATCAGAATCAAACAGGGAGCAGTTGAGATGGGATGGTAAGATGGGCAGGTACGTTTTAACCGAGGAATCTACTTGCAGTTCCCAGCAGGCATCTTTCTCTCCTCAGCACCTTTTATATTTAGCCATTTGAAGGAGACCCTTTTCACTCCCAGATTTTACGTTTGCCATTTTAAAACTGCATGAGTAATGTGAAATTATGTTTATTTACACATTTTAATTTGTTTGAGAGAACTTGGTGTACAAGACGCAGTCATTTAGCTTAGGGGTGACACATCAGGTTCCCCAGCATTGCATGTCATTGACGCTTTATCCTTCTCAGAGCTTATTTGAATATATACGAACCATATTCTTTGGTTGAAAGTATATATTATAGTGATACGCATTTAGAGATTCAAGGAGACTCTGATTATATATCCCTCCTAAATTGCAAGGATTTAGCCACTGTATAACTAATTGCATACTGTTTGACATGGCATTGAAATGCAGATTAAAATTTTACGTAATACTCTTTTATGCTAAACCATAATCCTCAAGCGTCCAGAACAGACACTCTAGTAAAGGTGTAATTCTCATGTATTGTGTGTCTTGAATGCTATCTATCACATCTATAGTCCTTTTAATATTCTAATTAGAGTATTATCTTGATCTTTTCGCAGGTACTGGTATCTTGGGCCTCTCAAAACCAAAGCAGCTCACTTTTTCAGCACTCTTAAGGTAAATGCAATTTACAATGTAGACATTTGCCCTGTGTTATTTTGTTGGGTCTGTGATGTATGTATTTGGATTTTTCAGAAATTCCTTGCTACAGATGTATATGATATGCTCCAGTACTACAATGGGGGATATTTACTTATATACAAATGCGGAAAGCATTCCTATCTTGATAAGCAATCACCCCTCATCTACCAACTCATTCCCTCCATTACCAAACCCATATTAATTTCTCTTTAATGTCCCACTCCCCTTTGCCTATTCCTTCACTCAATCTGGCTAGACCAACTTTGAACAAAATGACCAATATCTCATCAGTTATTTGTAAGGGTGGTCTGTCTGTAAGGGTTTCTGGAAGTGACTGAAGATTTGTATCAGCATACATCTAATCACACAGGCTGATGTATGATATAGTAGGTTTCAGACCAGGCCAGGCAAATATGGGGAGTGGTTACTGTACTGGACGGTCCAGATACAGAACATTTTCTCATCAGATAGAAATTGGGCATTTCTGTTGGGCATTTTTCAGTATGTAGCAGCACTGCTATAGGCTGCCAACTGAAAAATGTTGGCATAGAGAAAAGCTGAACAACATGTATTTTTTTAAAGATTTTTATTGGGGAATTGGGGGGATGGGAACAGTGCTGGGGAATTGGGGGAAGGGGAACAGACAAGTTGCTGTCCTTTTGTTCTTCAGTCTAGTTGTGGAGGACATTGCTTCACTGGCCCAAGTTGGCACCATCATTGTGCTCTTCCCCGGAGAGGCCGATTGGTCGCCGGCTTCTGGACGGCCGCTCACTGCGGCTGCTGGCCACTCACGCTGGCTGCTGGCTACACACGGTAGCCCATGGCAACCCACTGCAGCAGGGGCTGCAGCCTATGCCGTCGCCGGTGACTCATGGCAGCCCAGCTCCAGGTTGAGCTGTTGTTCAGCATCTTAGCTGTGGAGGGCAGTGTCACTGGCCCTCCTATGTGGGATCCGAACCGGGGCCCTCTGGCGTCTCAAGCCAGCTGTTACCCAACACGCCACTCAGCCGGCCCCTAGGGCATTGTTTTCATTATTCCTGTGGACACAGCTGAGACTGAGGATGACACTGGACTTGGGGTGCCAGGAAGTAGAAGACAGAAAATAAAATCTAGAGTATGAGAGTGATGACCCAGGAGTGAGGAGCCTGGGGCTGGGTTTTGAGGCTGGGAAACAATTCTGGCCCCCCTGGACTGTGGCTGCAGAAGTGAAGAAGGTATTTGATGCAACCGAATTGCATCAACTTCTTGTGTCACCGTCAGTGTACCAAAGATAAATTTATCATGGTATGGTTCTGTGCTCATTTGCATTGAGAATTTTTTGGATAAGGACGAGCAGTGGTTGTTAGTCCCCTTTGATCTCCTCTCTGCTTTGTTAAGAAGAGCAATGGAGGCCGCAGTCAGAGCTCATGGTGTTCATGGCAGGACTTGAATGGGGAAAGGGGCCTGAGAAGTCCATGCTCCAAATTCGAGAAGATTCCATCCAGCGAGAGATGATTAGTTAGCTTTCCAGCAGGTATAGGCAGAAAACTAACCTTTGCATAGAGAAACTCCCTGAGTTTGGGATTGTGTGTATGACAAATGTCCTTCTCTGTTCACTTTAAAAGGAGTGGCCTCAGACTCACCAAGCCTCTATCTCATACACGGGACCCACGGAGAGGCCTCCCAGCGGAGTGGAAGCGGCCCCTCCACGGCCCTCTTTGTACAGGAGAATATTACGGAGGCTCGCGGCATTCTGGGCGCGACCGCAGGACGGTGAGCAGCATGTGGTCAGAGATTGAAAGCCCTGGTCAGTCCAGGACTGCCTAAAACAGACCCCCACATCAGCGTCAGCCCTCCCCAGATGGAAGCCATTCAGGGATCACTGCATTCAGCCTCCTGGGTGCCTGACCAGGGCCCAGACCAGCAGGCACACTGTCCCGTGAATGAGAACACCGTGTCGTTTGAGACAAATGGCGCCTCCCTCTTCCTGTCACCGACCTTTCTGTTATTCTGGCTGTGTTGGTAGGGCTGTTTCTGGCATCGAGATCCCCATTCTGAGCCTGGCTCTTTATCCTGTGTATAAATAAGAGGTATGAAATGAAGAAAACGATGGTGGAGTCAGCCGACGGGCCTGGGAGGCCGAGCTGAGCAGCGGGCAGCTAGCCCTTGGTGGTGGAGCTGCGAAATGTTAATGAAGAAATTGACCTGTGTCTCATGCATTCACACAGCCCTTTCCCAAGAGGTGAGCCCGGAGGTCTGGAGAGACATGCAGCTGTCCACCATTGAGCTGTCCATCACCACACGAAACGGTCAGCTTGACCTGACGGTGAGTGTGCTTGTTTGTTAGGAAAGCGTTTGGCATCTGGGAAAAGTGACAAAGGCTGCCTGCTCTTCCACTAATTCAGCATTTTATTTTTACCCTGTGGGTTAGAGAGGTGAGATCAGGGAAGAAGGGTGTGGCATGCCTTTTGGAGTAATAGCAATGAGAAGAACCAGCTGAGTGACGTTGCGGCCTAAAAGCTTAAGGGGCTTGGTCACGACTTCCGGGCATTGCTTAGTGGTGGTCACCGAGCTTTCTGTCTCCAGAGAACTGAAGGCTAAAGGCCTTTAGAAATGAAAAGTTAGCCTGCTCTCATTCTTCACGGGAATAAAAAATGGTGGAACTTTTATTTGAGTAAATATTATTTTGTGACTTACATATGTAGATTTAATTCCCCAAGAGAAAAAACTATATATACATATGTATTTATGCATATAAATACTGACTCCTTAATAGTGTATATTAATGAGAATGCCAATAGAAAAATTATCCTGAACAGTGGACTAATTACTATAATCAGGTTTTATGCAGATCAAAGCAGGATGTTCAGAATTGACCTGGACAGTGTGAAAATTGGCATGTGGACTAAACGTAGTGATGAATGCAAGTGGAGTGAGATGAAGGTACTGAGAAACATGATTCTAATATTAATATTCAGAGGATTGAGCTGTTTTCTAATTATAAAAGTAATGCAAGTGCATCGTATAACATCCCTTCCCTTCGTAAATTAATTCCAGTTTTATTAAGAGTCAAATGTAAAAATAACAAAACAAGAAGCCCTAGAGTGAAATCTAAGTGATTGTCAATATAAACTTGGGGAGGACAAGGCCTTTCTAAGCATGGCACCTAATGCAAAAATCATACTGATGCATTTGTCTGTGTATAATTAAAAAAAACTAGAATAAAAAAAAATTTTAATGACAAGTTGGGGGAAATAGTAGAATGTGATAGACCAGTTAATAGCTTTCTTTTAAAACAAACAGGATAAATCAATAAGAAATGGGCAAAGGACTAATAGAAACAGGCAAAGGACAAATTAGAAATTCACAAAAGAAACAAACATGAAAAAAATAGCTTATATTTACTGAATATACGTATACTCCATGCTAGGTACTAGCCTAAGAATTTTATATATCATGTCATGTTACCTTCACGACTACATTATCAGGGAGATACAACTTTTACTTGTATTTTATAGGTAAGGAAACAAAGCGCTCAACATCAAAGAAATGCATATTGAGATAGTAACTATTGAATTGTAGATTAAAAAGCATGCCAGTGTTCCGTGGTGGTGTGGGAGGGACAGTGGGCAGGCTCTCGGATTTCTGATGGGAACAGAAATCGGAACACCCCGATTTCTCAGTGGCATCTTGGCTGTACAGATGAAGCGTCTATATACTTGGCCTATTAACTATATTTCTAGGAATTTAACCCACAGAAATCATCAGATGAATACACAGTGTAGACAGCCCATCTTATGTCTTACATAATGGAATTCTGGGAACACCAGTGAAAGTGAATGTATGAAGGTTAAAAAAAAAATCCGATTCTAGAATGTAAAACAGAAAGATAAGATTTCTAATTATACATTTCCTTTATACCCAGTCTCTGATAGTATGTACTTCCGTTATTTTGTTCATGTGCGTTGGCTCATTCTCTCCCCTGATGGTTGACTACCAACAAGCAGACTGAGTTGAGTATGTGATTGTGGCCGAAGATTACCCACATTCACAAGGCTGAGCACGCTTTATCTTGGTGCCAATTATAAAAGTATATGATACGGTGCTTCTTAACCACTACTAGCAGCAGTACATTCATTTTCTTTTTTCCACACCTCTCTGTAAAACTAAAAGCAAAATGCACTAAAATATTCAAAGACAATGAAGCTGCCATGTAATAGCTCAAAATGTTCATTTATCATTTAAAAAAGTATATTCAGAGTCTGAAAGAGGCCGTGGAGGTGTGGAATGTGTGATAATTAGGATCTCTTGTATAGCTGTGTTCACAGTATTTGTAATAGCAAAACATGAAACAAGCTCATCAGAGGACAGATTCAATACCATTTAGTACCTTTATTTAAAATGTTCTATCTTTACTGACATAGAAAGATGTTCATCATGTATGAAATGAAAGACCAGGTTAAAATGACTGCATCAAATGATTCCACTTTCATATAAAAATGAAATGGACATAAGGCTCCGATTTTATATTCTTTTCACATAGAAAGCCAGTTGTCCAAGCACCATTTATTGAAATGTCCTCTTCCCAGCCCCGCAACGCTGATCTGCAATGAGCCTGTCATACGTTACAGTGTGTACATGGCAATGTTTGTGGTTACTCTACACAATTGCTCTAGTTTTCTCTACTATCACTGTGCTTCTCTTAATTATTAGTTTTATAGTAAGTCCATTTTTTCTTCTTGAAAGAGTCTCTTGGCTATTCTTGACTTTGATGTCTATAAATCTCTTGGAATGTTGATTAAGTTCCACCACAAAATCTGTTATATTGATCAGGATTACATTGAACCTGTAGTTCAATTTGAGAGTAAATGACATCTCTTCTATCATAGGAATGTGGCATAGCTCTTTGTTTATTTAGATTTTAATGCCTTTCAATGAAGTTTCATAGTTTTCTCTATAACATTTTGTCTTTTGCTGGATCTATTCCTGGTTATCTTAATTTCTGATGTTCTTGTAAATAGTATTTCTTAACATTTCATTTTTTAACTATCTGATTTAGTAGATGAACGTGGAATTGCTGATTCAATATCAATATAAAAAAAATCAAACTAAATTCTCGTTAATTAAGTACATCTATGGGGATTCCATTGGGTTTTCTATCGATTCAGTCATGTCAACTGCAAATGATGCAAATTTTGTGCTTCCAAGCACTCAGCCTTCGAATCTGATCTAGCAGGTGTGGGGTGAGGCCGATGTACAGTGAGGAACAAGGCATGCTGGGATAAGCTGGGCCAAAGGCATGGCCTACACGGGAGGGAATCCTAGAGATGCTACAGCTTTGATTATTAGTGACAATTTCACAAACCTCCAAATCAGATTTTTTACTTATATATGTAGTAAAAAACAAACGATGGAGATGAACTTAATGGTATGTAAATTATAACCCACTATAGGTCCTAATGTCAAACAAACAAACAAAAAAAAAGGAATCAGAAACATATTCAGGATTAAGTCACTAAAATTAAGTGCTCTGTGTAATACAGAGCTTCAAAATAGGCACCTCCAGGGCTTCAGGAGGCTAGCAGGCTGCATTAGCCCACATGGAGAGTACTCACGTTGGTCATCCTCACCTTTTCAGAGCACAGAAGACTTTATGAACATCTGCATTGAACCCGACACTGTCAGCAAAGGAGACTTCATCATTATAGGGTAAGTGCACTGGGCTTTGGGGGAAATGAAGCTCAGGTTGTTTGTGCTGTGAGCCTTTACTCTCCAGAGTGCCCATGAAGTCTGAGAGCCCCAGCAAAGGGCTGGGCTTGTTTGGAAACCGTAGCATTGTTTCATGGAGAGTGCACCTGTCTCCTGCTTTGGCCTCCTCTGACTATTTTGGGAAGATCAGGGTATGACAGCAGTCTTTTCTTTTTTAACCGAAATGAGAACTCAGTGCGGCATGGTGTAGAGCCCAGAATTGGGGCTTCAGGGTCCGAATTGATTAGTTCTGCCACTTTCCGGTCTCGTGTCTTAGATTCTCATTTCACTGATTCCGCTCCCCTGTGTAGAGCATGAAATAATCACCTCTTACTATCTCAGGGTTGGTTTTGTCTTAAAAGAGAGCATGTGTGGGAAAGTCTTTCTCCTTGTGAAGCGCTTCACAGTATCCATTACTGTTCGTCAGTCCGCCTTGTCCTATTCTCGGAGTGTTCATGAAAAATCTGAAAAGGTGTGGAGTACCTTGGACATTTTCCAGGTTTTCCCGTTTCTACTACAAAACACCCTTCCCAAGTCCTGTGTGATCTGTTAAGCCCCGCCTCTGCCAGAGTTTCATTGGTTAAGCATGCTCCAAGTTCTCCTAGTCTTCAAAGCATCTGAGAAGGGCCTGTTGCCATGCCAACTGGCAGTTGCTCTGCTGCCGTTTCTGTGCGTTGTCTCAGGGCTCCCTCGTGTGCCCATTTGAGGAGTAGACATTGCTGCTGCAGTGGCTGGGTCTCCGTGGCTACTTCAGTGTCTGCACCAGCGCAGGCATCAGTGTCGTTTGTTTGTGGTGTTTCCATCTTTGATACAAATTCTTCAGATGCTGCTGCCGCAGGCTTTGTATTACTTGCTGTATTTGTAGTAAAAGGAAGAGGGGAAAAACCTTTCCTTTCTCCATCTATGGAGCACGCAGAAGCCACACACTGTCTTAACCCTCCGTCGGGCGCAACTGACCTCACAGATTCATTGCACACAAAGATGTCGCTAGGAAATACGTCTTTACTGTACTACGTCACAAACATGACTGGCGATAGGTTACGGTAGAGGGGAGGATACCGAAGCGATGAGTCACGATATTTAAGTTAACTGTTAGATATTTGAGAATTTGTGTGCAATGAATCTGAGAGATCAGTTGTGCCCAACGGAGGGTTAATTGAGAGTCTGGTCAGTGGGGCCAAGTCCCTTAAAATCTCCTTTGTAATATTGACATCCGAAAATGGAAACAAAGACCGCCCCTATTGCTTAAGTTAGGTGAAGCCGCTGTTTTCCTCAGTATTGCTGATGTCATCGGCAGTGACACCGTTTCCTGTTGGTCTCTATAGGAAGTAAAGTCAGACAACGCCTGTCTCCATTGTGAAGTTGCTTTAGAAAAGTCTGATTAAGTTTCATATACTAAAGCGTTATTGTTGCAGTTAATCAAGTAAACTAGTCCATTCTTTTTCATTAGCATTTGCTCTTTTCCCCATGACTAGCTGTGAAGGGTATATATGCATAAGGGGGCCTGTGCATGTGGCTTGTCAGTCTGATACTTTTACTCCGACACCATTTAGCAAAGATGCAGTATGGTAGGTAGGCTGGTAACAGTCATCAGAGCTTCTGGGTGTTCAGACATATACGTGATCTTTACTTTAAATTAGAATAAAAGTATTTCCTCTTTCAAGAAATACCAAATAAAAAAGTTTAATACTTTTTCTAAAGGATTTCGTTTCACTCAAATTTGTAAATTTGGGGTTTTTAATAGCCCCAGAATAAGGTACATGAGGAACTATTTAAAATCACCCAGTCTTCCTGAGCAGTTCTCTACAGCAAGCAAACCTCAATCTAGAATCCACCCCAATGCTAAGCAAGAATCCTCGTGGGAAAACTTATTCACAGAACCCCATGGTTCCGCGGGTCAGGAGTCCATCTATTTAGTCTCGTCAAAAACGGAAAGAACTTGCTACGTTCTTACAATGTAATGCAGCGAACAGCTCCGGTTCCAAGCTTGCTCTCTCCTGTGCTCACAGAAGTAAGAAGGTTCGAGAGCCCGCGCTGCATGCTGACGGCACCGAGTGTCTCCAAGCCAGCCAGTGCACGCTGCTGCTTCCTGAGGTGAGCAGGGAGCCGCCCTCCAGGTCTGCTTCGTCTGCCTCTCTATTAACAGACCCCCAGCTAGGCGCCTGCTATGTGCTGAGCCCTTTGCAGGCTCCGGGTCCTATTCAGGGAGACTGAAAAGGTGACAGGATCCCCTCCTGAGGCACGGAGGTAGAGGTGGACTCCCGGAGACCTCTCAGGTTTTAATCCTAAATTCTGTACAGTGATCCTGAGGTCTCCTGAGCTTCGTTTTTCCACATGCAAATTCTGCAAACGGTTGTAATACACAGAGAATTCTCAAATGCTAACAGTGGATGCTACCTTCACGTTTTCAGAATGGCACTAAATTTCTCTGTATTGTGAAATGCCAACCCTAGAAGAATAACTTATGTAAATGGAGAAAGAGTTGGGAATATCTAAATTGTAAGGTTATTCTATTAGTAATTCCTCAGGAAAAAGAGTTACTATAGATTGCCTCTGAATCTATGGGAGTGTATCTGAGTAGTATAATAGTGACCATTACACTACGGTAATCAAAGGATTATAGGTAAAACAGATGGTGTCCCCATGCTGGGTGGCACTAGAGTTCCAATACAGCACATGTTGAATTAAATGCATGAGTTATGGAAGAGTTTTATAGAATATATACTGCTGCATGCTATACCTTAGGTGCAAAGCCAAACAAGTCCTAAAAAGAGCTTTGAAAATAATCAAATGGATCCACATAATAGCTTTCCTAAGAGAATGCACTCTTTCTCGCTTCTCATTTGAAAAAGATTAGGGCCGAGAAGGACATGGAACATATTTATCAGTTCCTTCGTTAAAGATAGGACAGGACTCCTGTCTTGTAATATATATTTGAAATGATAACCTTGCTTCTCAAATGCCACAATACTCTGGTAGTACCGGAGATAGAGGCAAAAAAAAAAAAGAAAAAGAAAAAGTACCACCTTTTCCATGGATGGTAGACCTCGGTGTTTCCAGAACCAGCACTATGCCCATCGTAAGCTCCAAAATCCTTTCTTAAAAGAGCATTAGACTGATCCTCAGAGAGGACGATGTTATAATGACCTGACATGGGTGTGAGCGTTGTGTGTCTCTCTGTAGGGCACAGAGGGCTCCTTTAGCATTGACAGTGAGGAGTACGAAGCGATGCCCGTGGAGGTGAAGCTGCTCCCCAGGAAACTGCAGTTCTTCTGCGATCCTAGGAAGAGAGAGGAGATGATGCAGAGCGCAGCCCCGTGAGCGGACAGGAGGAGGAGAACAGCGCTCTGAGACTGCACCTTAGGCCCCCGGTGGGGCCAAAGGGACCAAATGCCTCGCCTGTCCCCAGCGTCATCAGCGGATCCCAAGGGCCTCTTCATGGCAAGTACCTCTGCCCTTGTCTCGCAGTGCTTCCCAAAGTGTACTCGGTGCCACCCGCTTCCCGTTAGCGCATGTTTTGACGTCTGTGTGAGTCGATCCCGCCTAAATGCAGATTTTCTTCAGGCTAGTTCAAGAAAGTTCTCACCCTCAGTAGTGGGAACAGGGCTAGGCCTTGTTCTCTGCCCAAAGTGCAAGCACAGGAGACGCCAAGGATTCCGGGAAGCGCGAGGCTCCCCGATGGTGCTCATGCTTTGTGAGCTCTGATTACTTAGCTTGTTTCCGTCTGCTCCTCAATCCAGAAACATAGGTGAGGTGTTTCCCTCCTCAGCCGTAGCTGAAACACTGTAGTTTACTAGTTTTTTGTTTTTTTTTTAAAGTAATGCTTCTTAAATGTTGGTTTGCATGAGAATCATCTGGGGTGCACATGAAAATTTAGTTACTGGGGGCCCAGCCTAATTAACTCAATCGGGATGGAGCCTAGGAATCTGTATTTCTTTAAAGAGCAGCCGCCCTCCTGAGGTGACTCTACAGCCTTCCTCGGACGCAGAGTTGTAAAGCAGCGGTCCACACACTATCGGCTCACATACTTCCTAAAAGTAGTCTGGAAAATCATGTTTCCACTCACACTTGTAAGGTGACATCTAACATTTGTCATAGGAAGTTCGAGTTGCCAAAGTATGTACTTTTCTGTTGTCCTGTAAATATTGATATTTTAAAATAAAACTGTTACTTCACTCTTTTAAACATATTCAGTGTAAATTAAATACATAGCAATCTGACACTCATCCATTTACAAAAATAAATAAGTTCTTTAGTAGATGAAATTTTTAAGTTCATGTTTCTTCTTGTATTTTTATTTCTATACCACTTTGTCAGCAAAGAATGCTATCATAATGTAACCTATTTTTATGCTTGAAATTTTTAGTTCGTCAGGTGTTAAGTCAGAAACGAATAAATGTTATAATTATTGATATACTGTATTAGTATGTTTTTGATAATTAACTAATTTAATTAGAATGCTCTTTATCCTAATTAGTTCATTTATCCAAGACCACATGTTCTTTGTAGCTGAGATAGAGCTCAATATCAATTATATTCCTTGTCCCATTTTTTATATAGATGTACGCACATAAACAACTAGATGAGAGAGAATTGTCATACAGCTCTTTAAATTCCTTTGGAACTACATGTCAAAAATCAGTGATCTGTCATAAAAATTACTAATAATGATCTAGCAACAGCTTGAGGTGATCTCCCTTTATTTAGCTGGCTGAAAGCACAGACCTGATTTGTTAGCCTCGCGACCATCATTTACTTTTAATCCCACCATCCATGTTTCCCAACTTGGTGCCCCTGGAGGTTTTATCCTCCAGAGGGCAGGGTGGCATCGTAAGATGGATGAGCCTTTCTTCTGTAAAGAGGAAGCCCCAGAGTGAGGGGGAGAAGTGGCATGGCCTGGCTACAGGCTCGGCTTGGGCACAGGAGTTCTAGGACAGAACAGATGTGTGCCCGTGACCCCGGCACAGTGAAGAGCACAGAAAACAAGCCTTACCTGTTTAGCTGCGCATTCTTCAGACTGACGTTAAAAGCTGTGCTTATGCCCAAAAAAGAACGGGTGGCTCCAAGCTTGCACAGGGCGGCACACCCACACCACACTGCCCGTGGAGGGCAGGCTGTGGCATAAGAAAAGCAAGTTCTCACATGAGCCAAGAGAATTTAGCCATCTTGATTCTAGACTAGAGGACCAGCACAGAATCTGGCTTCTTCCTTGATAGCAAACACACACGTGCTGATAGCCTGAGTGATTATAATCCTTCCATCGAAATCATGGAACATAGGGTTAGGGAATGATAGTTAATCCAGAGTAATATTTTTATTCACTTTTATATATAAATACGCCCCAGTTCAAATTTTGTTTTCTTGATTCAAACTATTTCCTGTGAGAATATGGTTTCCTTATCATCTGTTGCCTTGCCTTGTCCTTCCATGTAATGTCCATGCCAAGGCCACAACAGTGCAGCTAGGAGACCATCATCCCTGTCCCCCCAAACCTGGACTGCTGAGGCAGCCCTGCATCCTCAGACCAAACCTTTGTCAGACCATCTTCAGTCAGAAGCTAAGATGATTTCTATTAAAAATACAGATGTTTTCTATTAAATATCATTAGATAGAAAGCGTTTTTGCTTAACCCCTGGCCGATTCGCATGCAGTTATAATGACTACATGCTGCTGCTTTACAAAACCACCCTAGGAAATAGGTAATGTTATATAGGTCACGTGGCTTGGAAAGTGGGAACCTGGCTTTGAACACAGAGCCAACAACGTTAGGAATTCTCTGCCTTAAACTAAGAAACTCCCCAAAAGGTAAGAACTGAAGTAAAACTTCAGTGTGTACACACACACGGTACACATAGATATGTGTGTATTAGTTATATATATAGGTAGCAATATAGTATAACGTCTTAAAGGAACCATTTCCTACTCTCAGCACTCCAACAGCTCCTGGGAACAGAGGTATATTAGTAACACAAATGAAATATTAAAAATCCATGGCTTGGGAGTAAAGGGAGCCCTTCACTCCTCGTCCCTTACCTGAATCAGGGCTTCGGGCTCTGCGGGTCCTGCTCCAGCAGTCGCCTGATGGCACTGAGGCTGCACAGTTAGTTATTCCCAGCTTCAGTTTCCATTACCCGAGGACGTTCACCCAGACCTTGGCCTCTAGGGGGACGGACGCCAGGTCTCTGGAAGTGAGGTCAGCATCCAGCCCAGCAGGTTCTGCTCACACACTGGGCGGTCCTGCCTTCCTCCTACAAACCACATTTCTTGGACTAGATGAAGGACTGCAGCACGCGTGTTCATGTTAAAATGTGAACTTTAATTGTAAAAATTATTTTCTGTAAATATAGTTATATCAACCTCTCTGCACACAACTTGGTTCAGATATATACAGATATATGATAAACACAGATGTTATTTGTACCACAGAACAAAATCAATTCAAGAAACATTTGCTGTTGGCGTCAGGAAAATCCCAGCTTTCCTTAAAATGATCACCACGGAAAACAGCGAGAACAGCATACCTCTATGCACTAGGACTCAGGGTAAAAGTTATCAGCTGTCTTACAGAGTTCACCCTATGAGGTAAAGACTTGAAACAGAAATAGATTCAGTTTCTCTTATTGCTATAACTCTTAGACCGGGGTAATCAGAACAGGGGTTTGACATTTAAGGCGACGGGGAAGCTATGCTTTTCCTAACTTGGAAAATAAAAATAGGAAAACCGTTTTTCCAAGGCTACCACTATTTCTTGTTCAGAAAAGGTTTAGTTCCCAGAAAGTTTAGCCAACAAGCTGGGGGATAAATAAGGAAGTTCATTTTGCTTTCCTCTACTCTGTACACCCAATGTCTCCCACCCTGTCTGTTCAAAAGCTCAGAATCTACACCTTCCCTGACTTAATGGGCACTTCTTTCTGGTACCGCCTTCAAAATATTTTTGATACTTTTATCTTTGCTTAATTTGCCCAGAGGAAGTTTTCACTCTAACGTCTAATATGTTAGCAATCAGCTAAGTCAGTGACCTCTGGATTTTTCATTTTGTGGATCATCTCTGGCCAATTTTTAATACCCTGCTCCAACCGCCACATTCCCCAACTGTCGTTAGCAAGCAAAGTAAATGGATCATTAGTCTAAATAGGCAGCAAACAATTCACACGTGTACTCCAATACTATTGTAGTAATTGAATAAATTTTCTGAATCTAAAGAAATAGAAGCAGGGCTTGACTTCTCCATCATTCTTTACATAGCACTGGAAAATTCTTGTTTCTTTTCTGAACATGCAGTTTCATCCAACTGCCCCTGTATTCCATCTTTCCAAAAGTGAGTTAAAGTGCCAGTTATAAAACTACCTCCCAGTCCCACCAGTGAAGAGGCCTCATCAGCATTATCACATGTACCCCCTTTTGTACAAGAGTTTTATGTAAGGTTGGGGACTGTAGGTCATTCTCCTTAGGACTGTCAAGCTTATCTCCTAAAGAGATTCAAGATTAAGATTTCACAGTCTCCTTTTTCACGCTCCAAAACATGTAAATAATAAAACTTTTCTAAACCTCAGTTGCTGACAAATTCCAAAACTGCCCTTCTTCTAGGGTTACCGTTTGGAAAATCCTTCCATTTTTTTTCAACACCTGCACCCTCACTGCATCACACAGTAATGCCAATATAAAAATAAACTCCATTTCTTAGAAGAAAAACATGAACTGAATTCACAGCTAGCCTTTTCCCACCACACTCAGCACTCCCATAGCTCCTGGGAACAGAGGTATATTAGTAACACAAAGGAAATATTAAAAATCCATGGCTTGGGAGTAAAAGGAGCGCAGAACTCCTTTTTCTTCCCCTACCTGAATCAGACAAGGGTTTTCCTGAAATGAGATGGAACTGGGCCCGCAGGGTCCTGGCAGCAGGGCACCAGGTGGCGCTGAGACGTGCAGGGGAAACAGCCAAGGACTGGACTTCCCTCAGACTCTCAGCCCACTAATGAGGAACCCAACAGGGAGACACAGCCACGCGTGCATGCGGCACCCATAGTGACTTTCTTGCTATTTTACAACTGTTCCCACGCTAAGGCAAGTTCATTGTCAAGCGAACCCTGTCAGGATTTTGTCCAGCAGCCCCCTCCCTGCTCTGGACTGCAGAAAGCAACTCAGTCCATTCCCCGGCCATGCAGTCCCATAAACAACAAAAACAAACGAAGCGGTCCCTGAGGTCCCTGCTCTTCCTGGAGGGCTGCTGTATTACCACGAAAAGGGTAATTCGTGACTGCCCTTTGCAAAAGGTTCCCTAAAGGCCTCTGTTTAAAGGTGAATTATCTCATCTTTTTATTGTGTTTGAAGGGCTTTCCGTGTATCAAGACCAACAGCCAGCTCGTCCTCACAGCCACCAGAGTGAGAAACAGTGATTCGGCTATGATTACCGTTATTTTTATGTTTTAGCTGAAATATCATAGGTCGTTACGCTGACAAATGAAACTTTGCGTGTGGTATTTAGAATTACCTGCACTTCAATTTCCCATCTTGACTTTCACGTGGAACAAGGTTAAGTTATAGATGCAAATTCCTATGCTAAATTATTTCTGTCAATATATCCATGAATCCGGTTTCCCCTCCCCAGCCAAATGGAAGAAGAGATGCCATGATGGAGGTGGATATGGGAGGCCCATGCCTTCTAATTCACAGCGATCATCATTTACTGGGGGCTGTCCAGAGCTCCAGGTGGGACGCTTACATTGCAAATGATCTACACCAGACCTAAGCAGTGCTCCCTGCTTGATGAAAGCCAAAGCAAATTCTAAACAAATGATTCGGCCCATAAGTTTTGGTCTCGTAGGAGATAAACCCTGCTATTTCTGACTCCATCCGAAGAAAGACTCCTAAGCCATAAGACTAGTGGACATTGTCCTAAAGACTACATGTTACCATCTGACAAGCCTGCAAACTTGAAAAAAATCCTCTTTAACATCAACAAACCCCATGCCTGGATTCTCGGCCTCACAAGGAAATTTGCCACCTGGAAATTTCTTCTAACTCGGTCTCAGGACGACAGGGCAGCCCAGGTATCTCAGTCAGCGGTATTTCCAGGTTAGCACCTGGCTCTCAGCATATACCTACATCAGGCGGAGAGCTGCCCAGGAGGACCCAGCCTGCTGGGGCTGGGGAGGGAGGGAGGTCCCACGGGACGGAAGGCCCCACCGGTTCAGGTACCACAGCCCAGGCTGGGTTTCCAGGCAGTTCTGGAAGGTCATTGGTCACAACAGTCATCCTGCCTCTAAAGAGCTTATGGACCTTGAAAGGCAGGACCTCAAAGGATGTTCACCAGCGTCTTCCATACTGAAGCACATGGCTCCTCGGGAAATATTTCCACAGTGACAAAAGCAGGTCCATGTGGCTTCCCTGTCACTGTGCAGGGCTTCCCGCCTGGTACTGCACAGACTCATTTCCCTTCTAGAAAACTGGCAGCAAATGATGCTGGGGTGTGTTGCTTGCCTACGATACTGGGGAGAAGGCAGAGGGATGCGAGCAGAGTCAGGTACAAAGCAAGCCTTCAAACAGTGACCTCAGAAGCCAGACGCTCCGTATCTCAGTCCAGGCAAGAAATACTCGGGGCATGACAACCAGTGACAAAGGTGACCACAGCCAGTGAGCATGTTATTCAGCCATGCAGAGGTGGCGGCACGCTCACGTCTGGCCCCATGAGGAAGCTGCAAAGGAGGGAGCAACCGAGTCCTGGGGGCTCCTCTTCAAAGGAACATGGGGGCGGGGGAAGGAGAAAGAAGTCCTGTTCTGGGCTCAGCTAAGCCCAGGCTCCATATGGCACTGCCCCCCGGCTTTCCGGGGCCCCCAGGTCCCATCCCTCTGTGTGAAGACAGACACACGGATTTGCCAGACAGACACCTGCCTAGATCAGTATGGAGTTCACAGGAGCCCAGAACCCCTGACCCACCCTTCAAAGGCAACTACGGGAACCTCGTTTTCACTAACTTTACATCAGCAGTCCCAAGCTTGGCGTTACGAAACCAGAGAAACAAAAGTGTTGGCAGGCAGGAAGACTCGAGCAGAAGTGCTT